CTTTATTTTTCTTTTTTATCCTTTGTTCTTTCATTCGATAATCGTCATAGAATACATCTAACACCATATTGATGATAACCGATTCTTCTTCATTCTAACAACACACATTTTTTGTTGTTTCTCTCTTTTACTATTGACTTATATTAAAAAAAAATTCATTTAAAATTTAACAACAAATTGATTATACAATAATGTATATATATATTTTAATAAATAATAGAAAATTCTTTCTAATAACAATTGATATAATAAATTATCGAAAAAACGTTCAACGTAACAAATGTAAATATGAGACAAAAATAAAATACAATAATAGTTAGTATGATATAAATATATAAATATAATAAGAATAATAAAATGAAAGATATATTTCGAGGAGTGTTAATGAAGAGAGGGTAAATTTGGAATGGTGGCACGAGCATCGTATGCACATGACAGAACGGATAGGTGTGATATACAGGACGGACAACAGTCGCGTACACGTGACCGCTGTGTAGAGACCCGTTTGCAGGTAGAGGGAGAGGAAGGTGGTAGCATTCGTAGAGGTAGAGTACCTTTAAAGCGAACTCGAATTCACGTGTAACAGCACGAGCGTAACTAGAACTCTACCCTCCTTTCTCCCCTTTCCCCCTGCTATTCCTCCTCGATTACCATCAATCGAAGCATTCATAAGGGTCGCGTATAATGGAAGAAAATCGATGAACGTGTACCCCCTAAGAGTATATTTTTTGTTTGTTTGTTTGTTTGATTCGTTACAGTAATAAAACCCGAGAATATTATTGTTATTCTATCTCTTTTTTTATACAAGAAAAACAAAATATCTTTTTTATAAGTAATAAAAGATGACGAATGAGATGATTGCGATAATAAATTTGTTATTAATCCTAAACACCTTTCGCAATGATTGAATTTGATTTTACATACTGTTGAGAGAATTCCTAACAAATACTGTAATTCCGGAATCATGAGATAACACGATGTATTTCATGACAATTTGATACAAAATTACCGGCCTGGGGCCACCACAACGAATATGATGCCCCTAATAACGTTGATTTATACCACCGGTTCAACTCCAAAGGGATCGCCGTGATGAGGACAAGGGGAGGGTTGAAAGTCTATGTGCGAGTTGACTCGCCGGGTGGTGGTTAGTTTAAATTGATTGCCATATCCTTTTACACGCCCTGCTCTATCGTGTAGGTAATCTGACGGAAAGGAATAACTCTGCATCGAAAACGTATACGTGAAAGTAAATTTAACTTGAGTCTTCGTACGGTATTACCTTTCCAAACGATACATCAAGAGCTCACTTTTGATGTCAAACGTCAACATGCCATAGCGATTCGTCTCGCGAAATGACGATGAGAAAAAAAAAAAGAAACAACAAAAGATGTGAAAATACGAATAAAAAAGATCTAATCCTTCTCTAGGATTTCATCATAACAAATTAACAAAAGATTCGTTTGCTTATTGTATAAAGAAATAAGAATGACGATACATAATAATAATAAAAAAAAAAAAAAGAAAATCATATAAATAATACTTACGAACACTAGCATAATGAAAAATGCAGCAAGATACGACGTCTTGGCCATCCACATGCTGACAAAACGATAATGTTCACCGGTTACAACATTTCTAAAAGAAGATATAAATAAATATGATAATAAAGAAGTTTCATTAAAAATATATATATATATTTATTTTGTATATATTATTGCATTATTACTTATTATTGTTTTACTTACCTCAAAAAACCTTTATTATCTTCGTGCTCTGCCAATGTCTTAATACTTGCCATTAGCAGATCATCGTAACCTAAGAATTCGTCTAGTATTAATCTTGAAAACGCATCTCCAAAACATTTATCATTTAATGGATCCAACGTGACAATTTTCACCGATATATTTAATTGTTCTCGTTTTTCAGGAGGTAATCTCAGGTAACCATACTCCAATGAATATTCCACGATGTATCCATCCTCTGGAAGAACTAATAACAAATGAATAATAATATTCAAAATTAATGAAACATTTTATGTATAGACATATATATATATAAGTAATAATAATTATATAAATATTTACTTGGTCTTGATGTCTTCTCAGAATCTGTAGTATGTTCTTTAGAAGAGTGAATCTCCTTATCTTTATCATATTCTTCCAGCTTCGTTGCATTGCCCTGTTATGCATTTACCAATTATAATATATCTAATGTATATATTTATAATCGATGTCTAAAATAAATTATACTACTTCACGTTATACTAATATTTCATTTCATTTCATTTATAAATGATATGATTGTTTATGATTATATAAAAGTCGTTATATTTAAACAAAATCTATTTGAAAGTATATACCTCTAATCTTTCTCCAATTATATCAGATCCAGTTAATGAAGGACTTCTCGTTGCATTAGTTGTACTTAAGTTTGGATACTGCGTTTCTCCAAAAATTGTTGTACTGGTTATATCCACGTTGTTAACAGGTAAAGTAACATTTTCGTAATTATTTTCGGTAGACAGGTGAATGGTGTCTCGTCCCTCGTCGACAGAAGATGGCTCGATATTGATAAGACTATTTTAAATAATTATTTATTATTAGAATACAAAATAATCTACTATTTTATTAGAATATAAAATATAATCTACTATTTTATTATGATCTATATTTATCTACTACTGCCTACTTATTTTATTTAAAATACAAATGTGATTATAAATCTGAGTAAAAATTATTTCAAATAATATTTTAAATTTGATAACTAACATGTAAGTTGTCTTATTGTAATAATAATAATATTTACCCATCTTGCAAAAGTATCCCAATATCATTCTTTTCTTGTCGTAATTTCTCTTCTTTAGCATAACTTTTTTCTATACTATAATCTTCGCCCTTATTTCTAAGAATCTCTACCCTTAATATACCTTCTCGTGGCCAATCATCTTTTATATGTTCTAAACAATTTATAGGTGCTCGTGAAAAGACTATGTGAATATAAGTGAGTACAAAAAAAGCCAATATTGCCTAAAAACAAACAAAATATATATTTATACAATCTGTTAATGTTATATTATAATATAATATTCTATTATATTTATTTATTTATTTATTTAACATATACTTACTTTGAACAAAACTATGAACTCTATGAATCTTCTAACAGGTCGTGGAAATGTTTTTGCATAAGCTAATGCAACCTTGATAAAAACTGCATGAAATAATCTATCTCGCACATTAAATAACGGATTTTGATTATTATTATTTCTCGCAGTATTCATATTATTATTATTTATAACTGGTCCACTAACACCAGTGAGAGTACGATTATTATGCGAAACTGTGCCATTTTGATTATTAGGTACTGGAGCAGTAGCAACATCGGGTTGTGACATTGTAACAAGAAGAATTGTTCTTATATATTTCTATTCTATAGATAATATAATTTAAATGTTAATAAAATAACTTATAATATAGATAGACTCAAAGGATTTTCATATATCTTATGTTCATATGCGCTGTTAATAAATATTTATATGCGCCGTTTGACATTTCCCACTAATTTATCACAAACTTATTCTGAAACAGAAAAAAAGAAAAAAATATATATATATATATAGTTTATTTTAATAAGAGATTACAATATAAAACATATAATCTAATTAATACGTTGCAATGAAAACTCACATATGCAAACTATTTATATGTATACAATAACTAGTAATATAATGAACGTAACATTTGATTATTTTATTTGATAATTCGAATCATTATCTTCTATCATTAATGATAATTAATAATCTATTTCATAAAGAATAATAAATAGTAATATAATAAAATGAAATGAAAATGAAATGCAGTTAGAATTAAACTTAACCTGCAATATGATAAATTATCGACATATAACGTATTACCTTGAATTACATACGTCAAAATATCTCATTATCGTGTATAAATTTATTAATAATAATTCTTATTATATAAAACAATACTATTCTTGTTTATGTTTATTTGATCAGTTAAAATATGCAATAGTGAGAAAAGTCAAGTGTCATATTATGAAGGAACGTTCAGTTACGTAATTAACAATGCGAAAAAGTTCTATTATGGAGTATTAAGAAGCATTAAAAAAACGTTACATATTCCATATTGTTTTCTAAACATATTATGATTAGACTAAATCGATATTATATCCATAACATATGAAACTTTACTAATCTATCTACTGTTTGAACTTTCTTTGTAAAATCTGCCATGCCATACCTTATTTATTAGCGAAGTAAAAATATCGTTTTTATTATTTAAAACAATGTTTTTCTTTTTATTTACGTTACCGCATTACTTATTAATCGTTTTCTTTAACTTTATAAACCTAATACAATGATCATGAAATTGTCACTTCATCATCATATGTTTTGATACCCGTTAGCTTACAATACTCGCATATACTAACTAGAAATAAGTATGGAAATCTCTAGTGACATTTAGTGGACAATTTTCTTATCGACATGAGCGCCATTTAGGAAGATCGGTAATATAGGAAACTAATGTTTCAAATATTTATCTTTTTAATATTAATACACAAATATATAT